GTGGTGAGTTCAACCTACCCACCATTAACTGGACGACACACTCTGGCCCTTTGGGCTTTGAAGGCATACTTAGGTCCTTAGACATACACGGCTGGCAACAACATGTACACCTGCCTACACGAAATCACAACATTCTTGACTTGATATTCTGTCATAATGTCACACCAACATCAATAGTGGTTGGCGAAAAGTTTCACAACAGCGATCATAAAATAGTCTTCTGCACCCTTCCGATTCTTGCCATGTGCAACAAACTAAAGACAATAAATACACGTTTCCAATATAGAGACTATGCAAACGCTGACTGGGAAAACTTTCAATTTCTAATAAAGCACTCTGACTGGAGCAGTTTCTTTACCAGTGATAACCTCTTAGAAACATTAGAAATATTCAATACCACCATCAAATCTGCACTAGACACTACTATACCCTTTAAAATTGCTTTTAAGACAACTACTCCCTACATAAACCAAAAGACTAGGTCTAAACTGCGTAAACTGAAAAGGACGTACTATATATCAAAAGACTTCAGTGCCCTGCACCAGATATATTCTGTACTCGACGGAGTACAAAGTCAACACGACAAGCATAAACAGGCAGAGGAACATACTGCGCTCACTGCTGCATCTAAAACCCATGCCTTATGCCGTCTCCTCGCAAAACGCATAAGAAAGAACGAAGATAACAACATTCACTCCCTACTGCACGATGGAGTGACTTATAATGGTCAAACCATCATATGTAAACCATTAATTGAATGGTTTACCCACAATGGGAATACATCTCATGTCACAGATATTAACACAAAGTGCACCTGCAAAAATTATCTTAGTACCATAAACTTCGACATGGGGAGTATACATACCGCCATTAAAACCCTTAAGCCAAATGTGAGTTCTGGTGCCGATGGCATCCCCTCAATCCTTTATAAAATGTCAGGTTTGGACATACAGACGCTACTACTCAAAATATACACATTATCCTTAGAGACAGGTACATATCCGGAAACCTGGAAGGTAACGTATGTTCTTCCAAAACACAAATCCGGACCGAGAAACCTGGTCGAAAACTACAGACCTATAAATATCACCCCAGTTATATCACGCATAATGGAAAAAGTGATAAAAAATCAACTATCTGATCACCTACTTAAGGAAAATCTAATAGACCCGTCACAACACGGCTTCATTAGAACAAGGTCGTGCAGTACATGTTTGATAGACTTCTTTAACGAGGTTACTCGCATACGTGATCAAAAGAAACTAATGGTTATACTATATTTCGATATTAAGAAAGCTTTCGATAAAGTACCTCATAATCTCCTAATCAACAGACTTAAGTCAGTTGGAATTATAAATCCCCTTTTGCAATGGATCAAGTCTTTTCTTACGAACAGATACCAAATAACCAAGATTGACTCTACAACATCTACACCTCGACCAATATCCAGTGGTGTTGTGCAGGGTAGTGTCTTGGGTCCATTGCTCTTTATAATATACATCAACAGTATATGCAAATGCTTTAGCACAGGTAAGACCTACCTCTATGCCGATGACATAAAAGTCATCTATAAAACCGACACTTGGGATGTACGTAGTACTATGCAAACAATCCAACATGAACTCAACATAGTAGACGACTGGTGCAAACGCTGAAGGTTAGAGCTCAACACAGAGAAATGCGGCTGGTTATGTATAGGAGACACGTCTCTCAAAATAAAACTAACAATTAACAACAACACACTGTCCAAACTGGCATCAGTAACTGACTTAGGGGTACACTACTCACAACGTCTTAATTTCTCTGAACACATCTCAGCCAAAGTATCTAAAATGCGGAAATTGCTTGGCTTCATTCTCCGTAATTTCTATCAAAATGAATCTAAAATCCTTCTTTATAAAGTTTGTGTAAGACCTATCGCTGAATACTGCTCGTTCTTCTTTTCCAACCTACGCCTATCTGATATACTAAAGGTGGAAGGAATACAACGAGACTTCACCCGCAAAATACTTAAGACTGAATCAGTCGTTGACTACAGTTCCCGATGCCAAATCCTAAGAATAGCACCCCTTTGGAAGAGAAGGCTTAGGTCTAATTTGATTCTCTACTTCAAACTACTCAAAAACCTTACTTATTCAACATGTAATATAGTTCTTGCCCGAAATTCACATGAATATGTACTTCGAAACAAAGTATCTACGGTCAAAGTTGAGAAATACAGATCAAAAACTCGGGAAAACTTCTTCCTCATCAAGTATGCAATAATTTGGAACAGTCTCCCTTCCGAAATACGCATGGCAGATGAATTACATACGTTTGTAAGGCTGCTTGATCAAGCCCTCATTTGCACTGATCTAACACATACGAACAGATCTGCGCCCCACTCAGATATCATAGGCTCTCTACATGTCTAAACCAAAATGGACTCCAAGTTCAGTTTGCCTTATTTTTCCTACTTTGCAGTTGTTTTAGTTACTTTTCCCACTCTATTTCTTCACTTAAAGTAGACAGGTAACTCACTGGACCTGCTGATACTGTCCAACTAAACTCGGTCGCTAAGAGACACTCACTACCACCCTAAAAAGTCAAGAGAACCGCGCAATCGACTGCCTACTACCGATCGAACTGCATCTTTGAAGCCTGTTACCCATCAACTGGTTAGGACAACACAAAAGAACATCAGCACCAAGTTAGTGTGAGTCTATCCTTGTCTATTGCTTATTTGCTTTTTACTCTTCTGTACACCATGTTGACTAGCAATTAATATTATTCCTCCACTCGTTACCTAATCTACAACCCATATACTTCTATACTTTTCCGCCCGTTTTATTAAACCACTATCCCACATTACACCCCTTTTAATGCTTATACTTTAATAGGCAAACTATACTTTATACTATAGTCAATTAAAGCACTGCATCGATGCCTTACCCACAGTTCATAATTTGTAACTGCCTGATAAGTTTGTAAAACGGTACTTATAGAAATAGTGTTTTCCAACAGATTGTGAAACAGAGGATTGTGTGAGGTATGATATATATCCAAGAATAAGCTTAAATGAGCCTAACATCACAAAAGGAGGGAGAGTGGAGTTACTGACCAGCAAGCATTGATGGTGAGGGTGATGACTTTAATCCACCCGTGTTTGTGAGGCAGAACATTTTGTATGTATCAGGCTCTCTATGATTGAGCATAAGTCAATCAATCTGTGATATAGATTATCTTCCTACGCTTACCACTCAGACTCATGTTTCCAATTTTATACTGGAGTAGCTATTCTACTAAGACAACCTATAACATGCTAACTCGGACATTTACACATGGATTGTGTGGCTGGCATCGGATGAAAAAAAAAAGAAAGAAAAAATCAGACAACAAAAGATATAGTTATTAATATTTTCAACACTTCACCGTTTATATGCACACTCCCTTCTAATAAACAACTTTCCCTGTACCAACCTTAACTTCCCTTCCTTCATATGAGCTTAATCCAACTTGTTAAACATCACAATTTATTGTTCTTTATTACTACATTCTCTTGAATGGAGCCTCTGACTTTATTTCACTCTAACAAGAGATAATATGAATTTAATCTAATTTATTATACCTTTGTCTGTTCTACGTAATGTTAAGCAACGTTTGGAGTCCATATCCAAGTGCCTTGTTGCTCTGCTGTTTCTCTTTTTTATTTTCTTCAGAATCTTGCTCCGAGGGCACAGCTATGGAACTTCTAACGTCTGGAACAAACTTGACGTATGCGTCAGCTGGCAACGCTTCAGGGGTATCGTCCACTGATGGGGTTGCGAGCACTTGAAGGTCAAACTGTCTCAAGATGATTGGTGCGTCACATCGACAACTCGTGAAGTTTTTTAGAGGCGGTCAAATCAAGACATTTTTAGATTTGAATTGAGTTCAGCCACACCATGTCTGATAACGTCCATCCTTCAAGTAACGAAGATGATGTCATAGTAATGATGCATGATATAGGACGAATCTTCAATGATATTATGTTATCTCGGAGATTTACAAGTTGGGACAATTTTGAGACCTGTTTGAAAAAAGTACATAAGGTAATATGACTTCTGTGGTTAATGATTATTTTTGTAGTATACGTATACTAGGTACGTTATGTCAGTATGTAAAAAGAACAATGATGACCCAAATCTAAAATGCGTTCACAGTGGTACCCAGGTTGTTGAAATCACATTGTAATTAATTGAGCTTAGACATTAAAAATATCAATAACATTTTACAACGTGTTCAAGCAAGCACTGAAGTTAAAGTACTAAGTGAACATGGGAACATATCTATGATTTGCTTCAGTCGTAGGGAGCAAGTAGCTGTTTACCACGCGTTCCCAGTGGTAATATGTATCGACTCGACTTATCAGACCAACAAAGTTGGGTAAGTAACGAATCGCAATTTATTTATCTTACAGTTTTCCACTGTTCCAGCTAGTGGTGACTGATAGTCTTGGGCAAGGGCACACTGTTATGTATGCTTTTTGCAAGCAAGAACCACGAGATGTAAAACTATTGGAATGCTTCAAAGATATAATGTGCTGTACTTATGATACACACACTTTTGTTATGGATTCGACAGCAACCAAAATTTCAGCAGTGTAGTCTACGCACAGTCATGCCGACATAGTTCTTTGTTCATTCCATGTCTTAAGAGCATTTTTCAGGAAGGTAAGTGTTAGCTGTTCAAATTATTTTCTGTAGTTCCGAAATCCTGATGTACGCAAATGCTTGGAACACCTTGTAAAGACTAGACGGTCTGATACACGAGCTTCGTTTTTCGTAACGCATTATATTAATTTTACTCAAAAGTACGAACATCTGAGGATCCATTTCCCACGGGCGTATGATTACATCAAAGATTACTGGATTGCCCGGAAGTCAATGTGGGCCCGTTGTTACCGGCGACATGTATTAAGCCTGGGTAACCACACGAAAAACCGTATCGAAAGTGCTCATAAACATCTAAAAGAATGTCTTAGAAGAGGTGATTCTCTGCTATTGACGCTCTGGAAAATTTAGAGCAAAACAGATACTGACCTACGTTTGCGTCCATATGACGCTGTGAAGGATCTTCAACGTTTTCCAATTGTTGAGGTAAGAAATATAGTTAAATGTTTCATTAGTTCCAGGTTCCTATGTCATTTCGAACTCTTTTAAATGAGTTCACATCTTTTGCAGCTAAAATTGTAGCTGTAAATTATAAACGTGTTAGGTCAATGAGACACGAATGTATAGCAGGGGAATACATCCGGTGCTACGACAAGGGTATGATGTATGTTGTTGGTACTTCACGTGCACCATGTGCTTGTGAGCGTTTCAATGACTACATGCTGCCCTGTGGTCATATTCTGTATGCACATTCTAAAGATCTAATAATTGGAGGTAAGTGTGTGTTCCTTTGTCTCTATAAGCATTGTAGACTTATTTCGACATAGCAGCCGGTGGACAAGGAAATATATAATGGACTTGGTTCTTCGTGCGATGGACAACATGTCAATCTCTACCGGGAGTGATGATCTGCTAGAGAAGTTCACTAACAACTACCACTCAATCCATGCTCTTAGTGAACCCTTGGCAAGTAAACTCATCCGTTCATGCTTCGAAGCATCTGAAGACATATGCGCACAAGTGATGAGTTCAATCGGTGCTAATGATGAAGCTACATCGTCAGAATCCATTGTTAACACTGACCATAGCTATGCTTCTTGATGACAAGAAGTTCTAATATCGTAATCTTTTTAGTTTTACATAAATTTATTTATATGGGCATTAACTCATTCTTATAGCGTTACGGTAGGGAGAGTGTACTGTGAAGTCTTATGTCGCTGTGAAAAAGGGATGTTATTTCGCGTTCTTGTGTAATAATTACCAGTTTAGCGCACACGCGATTAGTTATACGCACTGTTTACCAAACACTGCAACTTTGAACATGATTTACTATACTACCAGGTCGAATTTTGACTTGTCACGATAGGTAAGCACTGCCGTAATTAAAACACTGATGTGTTATAAGTGAGAACGTTTATTAAAGTTGAAATCCAACGAAAATGATCCATTATTGAATAACTTCCAGTTCTTAAGAATTGTTCCAATTAGGTCGTTGAACACTTGCGAAGCCAGCTGGAAATAAGATAGACAGGAAATAACTATTACAATATAAATGTTTACCCAAAACTAATATAAAAAGAGAAACCGGTATTCAATTACAAATCGAGAGTGCATTTGGTACATCACGCTTATTTGCTTTATATATATATATAAAGACTGCTATGTGAACTTACTTTGAATCGTCTTGTATAATCTGCAATTATTGGTGCCTTTTTTATTTTAGTCTCACGCAAGGTATAATTAATTGTCATTTACGGCATCAGCATATAAGCTAGCCAGGCTTTCGGTGATTTTCGAAGATCATTATATACAATCTCACACAATCTGGTCACCTGAGATCAAGATATCTTGATTACCCAATCGTACTTATTTCTGCTATTGGCTATCTTTGCAAGAATACCGGCAGCCTGAACATTGGAACTCTGTTCAAGAGGTAATATACTACCTATAAGCTAATTAGCTTTATAAAGCAATCTTAGCTTGCTCTCTGGTAAAATCTCCACATAATTGTACCTCTCTCGTATGATTATGATTTATTTCCTGCAATATAATGATTTGGTAGCCTATATATCTAACTGTAGAAGGTGATATTAACATATTGGTATGTGTTATAACAATCTACAGCATACACATAGTATTGACAACACTAAGGACAGCTAATATTTTCACTATTAGCCTATGTCTGCCATAAAAGTCGAACAAAACAGTGGAAATCAGCCAAAACTGTAATAGAGAAAGGAAAAACGATAAATGTTATCATGGTATCGTTAGTTGTAGCGCAGTTTTGGTAGCCTTGACGACAATACAATTTTTATGACAATATATGCTTAGATAATGTCATTTCATATAAAAATAAACGATTTCTCTGCTCTGTTTATATAGTTAAGTAGAAATAATCGCCAGTCTGCGATGCAAATATGAAAAAACTATTATAGCAGCACCTGATTAATGAATTTTCAAGGACTTCGCGATACCATGTAACGCAAAATGAAAAAACCCCTTTTCACTTAATTATGAAGATGGAAAATGATTTTTCAAATTTAATTATAATAAATTTCAAATTTTGGCTGTGCGCAAAGCAGAAATGAAGAAGTAGCGCAAAAAAGTGTCGCGATACCCCTGGAGCGCTGCCTGTGTCAACTCAAGGCCATGGTTTATAACAAGCGCTCTACGAGACTACTTTATAACAACTATAAACTTAATAAGTTAGGAAGCATGCTACGCTCCAACAAATGTTATAATTTGTAGATCATGCCTGTAAAAATGGCGTGTAACTGCTCATGCAGAAATATATTATTATTATTATAAAAGAATTCTCGTCAATCTAAGAAATTCGGAATCAATCACCCACTACACTCATGGTTTGCTTCGTCCTTAACAGAACGTAAACAAATGGTAAAGTACAATGGCTCTCACCACCTTAACCAATAACTAGTAGATTCATCCAGGGGATTTTAATAGGTCCATTATTGTCTCTTATGTATATAAACGATTTATTTGACACCGTAATATTTAAGAGTCCATCTCAAAATGGTATACAGCTTCAAGCCCGAAGTTCCAAGCGAAAGTTTATTCCAGATTCAAAGTCACCTTAATAATCGAACTATCCGGAGCGAAAAAGGAAATTACCATGTAACCTCAACAGATGTTGGATCATGCATTTTGGAAAACATCCCCGTGGTTTACGACTTTACTTAAAAAAGTAGAGTTCAAACACTGAGACCAATACATGATCTAGCTATTACTTACACAGGAAGCCTAAAGTTTGAAGAACATGCCCCGTTTATTACTTCAAAATCTAGACAGCTAATTGGTTTCATAATAAAAAATTCCTTCACACCAGAGGCTAAGCGTACCCTTCACAAAATATGTATACGAATCTTTCTTGAATATTGCTCTTTGATCTGCTGAAACAAGAATACCACAGATAAGATAAAAGTGAAGGGCCAAAGACGCTTCACACACCGACTGCTAGTATGTGACTCCACTTTCAACTACACAGACAGATGTAAGAGCCTCTCCATAGAATTTTTATGTTATCGTCGGTCAAGGAACAATCTATTATTTCTATATGGACTCACAATTCTAATCTCCTGTCGAACCATGATCCATAACCCAGTCTGCAGACTCAGAAACAACGCATACACACTGCTTACAGTAAATTACCGAAAATTGTTACAGTACGGTACATTTTATTATGGAGTACGTTGCCAATACCTATCGTGACTGTGACGCTATTACAAACTTAAAAAGACTAGTAACACTATTACTTGACAGTAAAGAGCTTCATCAACTATTTCCTAAAATTCCACCCACCACTGAGGCACTTTATTGTAGAACGCCTAGTATCTAGACAGATCATGAATATAACGGACCCCAATTATCATTAATATGGATATAACCAAATGATGGAACACATCGTTTACCCTCTCTCATCATTAACTGATTATTAGTTATGCAACTATACTCCTACTCCTCACTTTCAGATTCCGAATCTTATAGTAGTTAAAATATTATTATTCTTCTCAATTGCCATGTCCATTTTTTATATTACAAGTAGAAAGATAACTCACTAATCTCATAGATGCTGATCAACTACGGTCGATCATAAGGAGCTAATAATGCCCCACATTCTTGTGAGTCTCTCAACGTTTTGTTAACTTACTTCGAAGATTTTATAATTCTAAACCCTTCCATATTCTTTGGTTTGCTGTCTATTTTGACGATCTTCAAACCGAATGTAATCTGATCTGCGTTTTTCCACTTTTACCATTGGTTATATTCATAGCAGTGAGATATACTAAATGGATATCTAACCCACAATTCATAAGCTTTAACGTCTGATTTGGTTGTGATGTAGAATTATGGTCTACTACGATATTAGTACTACTCTAATGATGGACTTAATCCTAAAATTGCACATTTGTCATGACGTAACTGCCTAATCTATGAGACCTTACATGTGTCACATCATTGTCTACACCAACTCATTGCGTCGTAACAATCACCAATATATCATGGAGAACAAACCTAGTCTAGGGATAGAACGACATATTTATTATGAATAAAATTTTGTTACAAAACTCGAAAGTGACCACGCCTGCAAGGCTGAGCCATATCGTCAATCAATTCGAATTACCAATATATGTTCTTCCCGCCTTCTCCACCGCTGGATTTTTCTCCGTGTTAAATGTTAAATATCTATCGTCCCATTTGTCTTGTGTTCAGCTTTGAGGATTGGGTGGTTAAGGCCATGTGCTACTACAGTAATATGGAACTAGTAAAAACAGCGTATTTCAACAAGGAGCTTAGATTACAGCTGTATTCACACACACCACAAACGTAAGAGAGCCTAACATCACAAGAGAAGGGAGGGTGACATAGGACAGAAAATTTTGTTAAATTATGGCTTCTTATGATCATGTGGCGTGTCACGAACCAATGGTATTAATGCTAATTTACTATACAAAATATCTCTATAAGTCGTGTTTGTAGCGTTGAATCGGTTCTACTTCCTACAGAGTGATTTTATCGCAAGCAAAACTAGACAATTTGCTAAAAACGAAGCCTGCTCATGACCCTGTAAAATCAATAAAAATAAAAATGGGCTGAGATAGATCCAACAAAACAGGCGATAGCTATTAGATTATCAGAATACTGTTACCAGTACTATATTTTATAATTACACATAACCCTATACTTTTAGTTTCTTTTTGAACCACCTCCTTTTACGCAGTTCTTTGTCCATTCATATCATATTTACGTCTGCTTTCTCTAACCTACATAAAGGCTCTTACTTAAAAAGAATCTTAATAATGGAAAATTGGACTGAGTAGTCATACCTTCACTATTTCACCACAAATGACTCAATTTCAATATGTATGAACATTGTCTGCTTTGCTTCTCGTCTTTTTTTCTTACTCTCTATTGCAGCCCTCTCAAGATATGCCACCGATAACGCATACGGACCGGGTAGATTCGTCCTGCGTCATCATTAATGCCTCACATATTTCAGAGGGATATAAGATCACGGTTTACAGAAGCTCTCAAATTTACGTAGATTTACCACTGACTATCAGTTGCACGTCGCAAAGTGACCTCGGTAAAGCGCGCCAACTGTCATATTAACAATACGGATCTTACTAATATTGTTTGCATTCATAAGTGAGGAGTATTATCCCCCATACTTTTACCATCAACGTACATTATAAAATATCAAACTGAGCAACCCACCACGGTGAAAATTGTATATTCTATAACGATTTGATCTTGCCTGTTAGACAAAAGCGAAGTTTCGTCGTGAATTTCGGTTAACGGAGACGGCGTCGTTATTGAATGAAAATTGCCATGATTAATGTCTCCTTCTAAATACACGGCCTTCAGACGAAGCCATCTATGATTACTTTCTTATTTATGATACAATACTTAAGTTCACTCTGAAGAACTTTAAAGGGTCCTTCGTACGCCATTCCAAAAAGTCATCAAGATGAGTCGCGAAGTATGAAAATTTGTGCACTATATCGTCGACAGGTCCAACGAAGATATCGATTGATTGAGGTCGAGTTGGAACGAGTTTAACAGAAGGCATCATGTCTGTAAGCCTGCTTG